TTGAATGTTTAGTCGGTATATGCAAGCGCCGTTTCACGGGGGGAGTGAGAGAAATCCCCCCCCCCATTTTTCAGTAACTACACAGGCACAAAATAATAATAATAATAATAATAATAATAATAATAATAATAATAATAATAATTGACAGACCCAAAGACTTGAACATGTTTTTTTGTGTATTTTGACGCTCTGAATCCGAATCTGAAGCCAGAATTGGGCCATCACAATCCAAGTTCATTTCGGGAGAAAAAAAAAGAAAAAAAAGAAAAAAAAAAGAAAAAAAAAATCTTTGTTCCTGGGGGTAGTCAGCCTCAAAGACTTGACACTTGTTTCTCTATGTATTTTGACGCGCCATCCAAATCCGAAACCAGAATTGCACCACCTTCTACTTTTTTTAAAACAAAAATGCGAAAAACGCACATATTTTAAATTTCACTGTTTTTTGCGATTTGAAACAACCAGTGGTCAGCACCGTGTTAACGGCCAGGCCCGAAGGGCTTCAGCCGAGGGCTCCCAATGTTCAAGGGCCCCCAGAGTTCTAAAAAAAAAAATTCAATACTAATTGTTTCAAAACATAAAATAAACTAGTGGTGCTACAGAATTGCAAAGACTTTCCCGTATTGGTTCTCTGTTTCCTTTGGTCTCGGCTAGATATTCGTACTTGCCAAATACTCTTACCAGCTGCCATTTGTCGCCGCCCAAAGTACATTTTTTTTACATTTTCTTATTTTTCGATTACCTAATAGTAGAGATATGTTATATTAAGAATATTAAAGAACAGAACGTCGTCCTAAATGGCAATTTTCTTTGACAAATTTGTACTCCTTAAGAAAATGGAGTTTAAGCGCTTCTGTAAATTCTAAATTTGAAGTTGATTTTCATAAGAACTTTTTGACTTTTCTAAAAACTTCATTTGTAGTCATTTTAAGATCTTTAACTCACAAATAAAACAGTGTTTACAAATTGCTGAAAATATGCATATTACCAGCGTGAGTGATCTTTAAATAAAATTAGATTTGTGTAATTAAAAAAAAAAACAACCTGAAATGAACTTTACGTCATAAAGTTCAACGTTAAAGAGCGCAATTAGCACTATCCTTCCAAAAAGTTTGAAGAAAATATTTGGAACGATTTTTGAGAAAATGGCGTTTGATAATTGAATGGTGTACGTATGGAAAATGGCTTCGACTGCTCTCCAGAGGAGTGTGACAGCTCAGGCATTTCTTACTCTGCGACAAGCGGTGCTACGGCGACGCAACCGGAAACAGTGTTGACTGAGTCAGGTCTCTCTCTAGGTGCTAACTGAGTGATCGCGGTCCGTTATATTTCGCGCAATTAGAATGTGCCCGACACAATAGAAAGAGCATGGATCGCTTACGTGCGCCTGGAGAAGGCGTGGAAACTGGTACTTAAAGGTACCATTACTGGTATCTAAAAGAATAAGAAGAAAAAAAAATAGAAATATAATAAAAAGAAAACGTAGAACAGGCTGGTTACATATTTTAAGAAATCAAGTCAACTTTCATCAGTTCTGGACAGTAATGTTTGTAGGTAAGCGAGTGTTTAATTTGTAAATCGATATCATGCGTTTTTATTTAAATTCTTTCTGTTCACATCTGTATCATAGAATGAAAAATATTATACCCTAATGCTTCATCGTTTTGCAGCTTCGAAATCAAAATATTTTAATTATAAATTATAACTTTTTTAAATTTAAAACCATAATGTATTCATTAAATAATAAACATAATATCTTAATTTTGTTAAAAAATAATAAATAATTTACCTTGTTCATAATTAATATTTTCTTACTTTTTCTATATACATACATCCATACATACAAATCCCCCCTCCAACCCGCCCCTGGTTTATGATTGAGAGGTTAATATTTTTCAGCCCTTAATACTCTCAACAGTCGGCGGTAGGCCCACAATTCAAATGCATTTATTCTTAACTTTCCCGTATACATACGTATATACGGAATAATATAGGTAATATAGGAAATGTAATGTCATGCGGCGGTAAATCGATTTCGAGAGTTCAACGGAAATACACGTTTGGGATCCCCTGATACCGAAAAAGTGTTGTTTCTTTGTTGTTGTTTTTTTAACAAAACGTCCGTCCGTCCGTCCGTTCGCCCGTCCGTTCTTCCGTCTGGTGCATATGGATAACATTAGCCCATATACCATGCGAAAGCCTTTTTTCCAAATTGAAGAAACCGCTGTTCATTTGGCCTGAGCCGAAGCTCTGCGATTTTGAAAATCATTCATTAGTTTTGGGGAGTACTTTACATGAAGCCTCCAAAGCAAGCAATCCAAACCCAACCAATTCAAATGAAGGGCCTGTAGTGCATCTTTCGTTAGCCAGGAATAGTAGTCATTTCTAACTTATAGAAATTAAATATACTTTAATCAGCTATCAAAATTTATTTCAGTAAATAGTAATTTAGTTCTTATTAATTTCTTTGTATAAATGTTATTATATTACTCGTATAATGTACAAAGTAAAAGTATTCGTAAACGTCCGTTACAACGCAAGGCTGAGCACGTACTTCCTAAAAGAGTACTCGACAGATCAACCCAACCAGTTCTTAGTTCAAAAAGTTCTTAGAAATGTACACAGCGTTACTATCTGCATGTTACTATTCATATTAACAGTTCCAAACTAAATGTTCTAAAACTTCAGTATACTTTCTTTTATAATAATAGCAATTGCTTCCAAACACCTCTCAAATTATGCTCACAAAACTTTGGAAATTCGAAGCGCGCGACTAGGTTTGATGCAAAATTACACAAATAATACTCATATTTCCGAAAAATTCTACAAGACCTTACTTGAAAATCTCTTTTTGATGAACACATTTCATTAAGAAAAATATGTTTATCTTCGTAATTGTAATATGAAGAAACCGAAAATATTTTGAATTTTTGCAATTTTCAAAAATCATAACTTTCAAAGTGCTGGAGACCTGCACCATTCTCTTAAGCGTTCTATACGGCAGGTCAAAATTTAATCACAATTGGTGGCGCCGTTTTTGAGAACAAATTGTTTAAACAAACTTAACTAGTGGTGCTATAAAATTTCCCGTATTATTTTTTTACTTTCTTTGGTCTCAGCTAACTTTTCTCTCTTGTCACATATTCTTGTCAGCTGCAATCTATCGTCGCCCAAAGTACATTCTTTGAAATTTTCTTATTTTTAAGGTTTCCTTATAGTAGAACCGATATATTCTTTTGAAAATATTAAATAACAGTAAAACCTCGTCATAAATGGCAATTTGCATTGAACGTTTTGGAGTCGTTTATAAGAAAATGGCGTTTAAGCACTACTGTAAATTCGAAATTTAAAGCACATTATCTCACAAATATAATAGTATTTACAAATAACTGGAAATGTGCTTGTTAGCGGTCAGAGATCTTTAAAAAAATTACGTTTCTGTAATTAAAAACAAAAAAACAAAAACAAAACAAAAAAACGAAATTAACTTTACGCCATATTAAAGAGTGCAATTGGCAACTATTCTCTCGAAACGTTTGAAGAAAAAATTTAGATACGTTTTTGAGAAAGCCAAGGAAAACGTTAAATTGAACAAGAGATGGATAGATGTAACACTAATCCTGGGTTTATTATAAACTCATTGGTGTCAGTGGTTACTTTATATCTACTGCGGGGAACCAGATTATGTGCTCAGGGAACGCGAGAACTCCAGTAACGGTGGGGCTATAATAGTGCACAAGAACTGAGATTCAACTCCGCTCTACGTAAACTAAATTTTGTGCAGATCTGCGCCCTAACCTCCACTGCCAATGAAGAAACAATATACGATTTTATGACATGCTAACAGATGTGTTAGCTCATATTCAAAATAATGAAGTTACCCTGATTCAAGGAGATCTCAATGCAAAGGTGGGTAGAAGCTGTACAGAACCAGAAGTTGCTCGAAAACATGGACTTGGTGCATATAATGAAACAGGAGAAAAATTGTACAGAGTTATACCTAAGAAACAAAAATTCACAGTAGCCGACACACTTGTGGCAGATAAAAGAACCCTTGCGGTATGCCCAGTAAAATTAAATCCCTCCAAAACATCCGCCCAAACGAAATCTCACTTTCCCCCAGCCATTTCGGATATGGTAAGTGAGACCGATATCGAACGGACAAAGCGAGAGTCAAATACCAGGCGTATCAGGGGACTGCCCGCAAGGCGCACCTGCTCGATAAGGTCCCCTGACCCGTGTAGGCGACTAGAGAAGCTTGGGTCGAAAACTCAGGAAAGACACCGGGAAACCACCCTGAGTAATTTATCCCAAACCAACAATGGGCCTCTTAACTTTCGTGTGTGGAAGACAGGACTAAAGAAGAAGACCAAAGGAACAAGAACCATCTATTCTCATCGAAGAAATAGAACAAGACATTACAAAATTAAGGAACAACAAAGCACCAGAACCTGATGAAGCCTTTGCAGAAATGCTAAAATGTACCGATGGACTGATGAGTACAGTACTTTTATATTTCATTGCAATAAATAATATTGCTGTAATATGTTACATTTTTGATGAGTTCATGTAATGCCATCATTACATAAACTTAATAATGGCGAATTATTTCAAATAACATGTTGGTTTGCTTGAGTTTTGTTATCATAATATATGTATCTCTTCCTTTCTTGTTAAATAGCATTAGAAATATAATTAGAAAAATATTCTCAGAGAATGGGAATGGATCAAAAGAATATGAAAAACAATTAATATTATTTTAATTATAATTCACTTTTGAATATCCCAATATTAATTCGATTTTTACTCTATTTTTCAATTTGTATTCTCAATAACTCAATCTGTTAAAAAACACAGCTCTTTAAAAATGTTTACAATGTTTTGAGATAACAAGTAGTTTTTGTGTAATATGTCCTTGAAAAGTATGCAAATAAAATAATAATAATAATAATAATAATAATAATAATAATAATAATAATAATAATAATAATAATATTTATTGAGTCATGTATACAATTTCAAATAATATGAGAAAGAATGTGTTGTTGTAGCCCCACTGGTTTTAGTATAGAGACATTCATACCCATTAGTGTATTTTAGTTGCATCCTAGATACATGTTTTCAAGGTTAAGTTTTAATAATGTGACCCACTTTTGTAATTTAGATAATAAATAAATAATAAATAAAGCTTTTATTTTCAATTAAACAATTGACTACGAATTTCAAATGTAATGAATGTTGCAATTGCAGACTAGAAAAATGTCTTCATTTTAACAATCAATCCTCACCTGTCAAGGATATGAAATAGTATGAGTACACCATAGCACTCAAATTAAGAATATTGGGTCAAATGGAAGTGTTTAATGGAAGAAATTTATTATTTGAATGAACAAAGGTATTATTTTTGGTCTCTGGCCTCTCTTGTTCTTTTCTTCATCTGCCCCAAATGAGTGGTGTTCTGCTTTATAAATGCACACACTGCCTTTTACCCCACAAAAACACAACTTTTCTTAATTCATTCTACTTCTTCCATCCCCCACTGTCACACATCTCAAGTGCACTCAACTCAGTCAAAGAGTGAGTATTTTTCAAGGAAACATCCAAACTTATTATTTGGGTAACAACAATGTTTAGTAATTCTAAATAACAAAAATATATATTTAAAAAATTATAAACGTTTATTTTATATTCTCTATTTTTTGAGCTGAAGTAATAAAATGGATACTTTCATATGTACACTAGCATTGCCATTTTTTTTATTTTTTGGACAAAAGTTAACAAAGTTAACAATGAAATGAATAGAAATTTCTCAAAATAATCTCATACAAAGTTGATTTGTAGCCTACAAAATAAATACTTCTGTGATTTTTTAAAGATACCATAAAATACTAGGTACCATAAAACATACCATTTTAAAGTGATAAAACACAAACTGGAAGTATGTTCTACATCCTGTTAACACCTAATTTTATTCAGAATTGTGATAGTGACTAGATTCAAACATCTGTTGAACTGGTCCACGTGTAAATGTAACAAAGGTGGAAATTTATCATATCAGAAATAGTCTAGATTTTTCACTTTATTAAATTGATGGAACTTTTACAAGAACTTACCTTTACCAAGTTTTATGTTTATACGCATTTCACATTATGTGGCATGTACATAATAAGTTAATTTATTGCCTATTGTATGTTCAATTATGTAATTGTTATTTCTTTAATTTTTTGTGAATTAGGAATATTATCAAATTACATGCTGAAGTGCATCCATGTATGAACAGTAACATAGTCAAGGAGAAGAGAGTATGAAAATTGTTGAAATGCCAGTTGGAAGGAAATAACTTTTTACATTTCTATTTCTATTTCCAAATTATGTTAATTAAGTTGTTGAAACACCCAAGACATGTACTTTGCAACGTCTGTGAACACAACATAATTATGGGAATCACAAGTTTGATCACCCACTTCCAACATGCTTAAACTCACTACACCACGAAGATACCATGTTCTTTGATTTCCTTGTTCAGGATTAGCCAATCTAATATTTAATCCCCCACCACTGTCTCCATTACATACAGTTGTACCTAAAACAAATAAAAACATTTTTTTTTTACTTTTTGAATTCTCAGTTCAGATAATTTAAGTTATAAAATACAATTTAAGCCATAAAGAACAAAGAAAATAGGTTTGAAACAGTAGCATAACATAATGGGAGTATGTCCGCCTACAAATATTTTATCTGGGCCCTCTTTTAAAAGTGTACAGCAAACACAAGTAGTGGTAGTATCTAAAATAATTTTAAAAAAACTTTACCAAATTTAAATTCATCAGACCATGATTAACAACCAATCATGGAAAAATCTGCTTCTGTTTTTTAATTTTATGAAATTAAGTCGGTGACAAAACCCAAATGAATTGCTTACTTTTATTGATTTAGAAAAAGGGTTATATAAGCTACCGAAGCGGAAATAAATAATTTTTGCGGCTGCTTTTAGTCTTTTATTATATCAAGTATTGTAATGTATTCGAGAGAGTATCAAGAAATTAATATTTCTTACAATTGCAAAACCTTCAGGCTAAAATTAGGGCCCAAAACCTACCTGGGCCCAAACGTTATGCCACTGGTTTGAAAATCAGGAAAGATGAATACATACCATTTCTAAAACCAGCACAAAATGTGTTCTCCGAGGTGTATTTTATGTAGAAGTGGTTATCTGAACGTAAACAAGTCTCTTGTGACACGATGGGCATTCTAGCGATTCGGAGCTTGTCGGAGAGACTTCCAGTTTCATCCCTCCCCCAACCTCCAACCTTTTCAAATAATTCAAGAGCATTACATTAACATTTTAGAACAGGAATGTCTATTTACCATATTGCATGCGCCTTGACTCACCGTTCCCACTTCTCCTACAACTGGAGATAAATCAGGATTTCGATCCCACAGACAAATTGGCTTTACAAATTTATTTATTACCACTGTAGTAGACAAATGTATGATTGCCAAGTCATTTCTCAGGATTTCTGGATCATACTCGGGATGGATTGTAATTTTTTGAACCTTTATTATAAAGAAAAATAATTTTATTTTTATTCATGTTATGATTATGATTGATTTGTTGATTCCTGTATAAAAGTGTTATATTTTTATACAGAAATAATACAAATTTTTAATCATATGCTACCTTGATTAAGTGAACAGCACCAATACGAACAATTTTTTGTGGAAATTATTGATTTTTTTCGTGAAAAAAGTAAATATTCTCTCTTTTAAGCAGACATCTGCCTTGATGCCAGTACAGGCACATTTCATATATTAACATGTATTAAGTAATCACCAGTTTGCTATTTTAATCTATAACACCATAACCCATTACTGCAAGCATGTATTTTTGTTACAGTAATACAGACACATAGTCTGAGAGACTCTGCTGTAAATCAATTAATTCTTTTCAAAAATCAAACAATTAAATACTTTAAAAGGACTATTTCTATTAGATAAGTTATTTCTTTTTTAAATGCAATAGAAAAAATACTTCATTGCAGCCTTTTGCATGACAAAAAACCTCAAATTTAAACAATTGCAATTTCAGCTTTGTTACAATACATTATCATCCTCTTCTTTGATTTCTAAATAAGGGGTTGACTTTAAACATAAATTTTTTTTTACATAGTTCAATATAGAACAAACTTTGAGAATAAAAAGGAACTGAAAACAAACAATTGTTTGTAGAAAATGTGGGTGTCTAATATGGTCTCAACAGATCACTAACACAGACATGCAGCCTCTGTGACCACTTTGAAAGTTCAGAGCATTACGAACCTCTGCAGATGAATCCAACCAGGAAAGCGATAGTTGTGACTGTTAAGGAGCAATGAGAAATGAAGGTGGTGAGAACGATACTATTACTACACATCGAGAAATTATTGAACTATAACCTAGAAAATTTGTTTTGGTCTCCTTGACTGTATGCCTGTAGTTACGGGTTAAGAAGAGGAAATCTGATGGAGGTCACTGGTGAAACAGAGTCATTGTGTGGGAACATCAGCTTACTTAGATATAAATAATCTAATTAAAGTTGCTTATGTTATGCACCATTAATTATTGTTTCACATCCTAATAAATTATTTTCTGAAGTTTCATCAGGGCAATGGTAGATCCAGGAAGAGAGAGGGGGAGGGCGATATTGGAGCCATGGCCCATCCAAAAGTTTTTACCTTCTTTCATTAGACAAAATTGTTTAAATATTTATTTGTCACAATTATATAATTATTTAAAAATTATATTGTATAGTATTGTATATAAACTACAAAAATACTATACAATATAATAAAAAATGTTTATTAATTAACAAAAATCTATGATGGCCCCTTCCAAAATGATTGGTTGAATCCACCCCTGTTCCAGGGTATGAATTGCAGCTTCAAATCATGTTGACTCAATGTTCGCTTTCCATGTTCTCATCACCTCCATTAAGATACATTCTGCGCCGGAACTATAACTGTCCACCTACGACAGGTTTCACTGTACAATAGAAGGGAGAGGTGAGCAGGTACAATAAGACTCTTTTCTTTGAAGCTGTACTGAAACCACAACAACCAAGATTCCTTAGGTATATAATTTTAACTTTAAAGTTTTGTTATCCCGTAAAGTCTAATTATCATTTCAAAATTATAAGTTTTGCTAAAAATGGAAATAAAAGTTTTCTTTCTTTTATAGTGTCTCATTCTTCTGGACTGTTGGGAAAAAATAGTCATGACTTAATGAGTTAAGGAAATAAATAGTTAATAAGGGAAACTTTTGATATCAGGAAACACAATCTATTTTGATGAAGATGGATTTCTGTTGTTGTAATAACAACAAAAAAGGTTGCATCAACATCTAGGTCATTAGCAACCACTATTGCATGGATTCTTTTTTTATCAAATGGGACGAGTTGTAGGAAATGTTCTGATGGCAGTTGAGAAAGAGAAGAATTTGTAGAATTACAACTTGAAGTTGGAGGAGGAGGATGTGGAACACTGGTGCTGTTCTAAAAGGAAGAGTACAAGCCAACATCAAATTCTGACTCCACATAATTAAAAACATTAGATAAAAAATTTTGTAGCATACTCTTGAAATGCCACATTGTTATGTATCTCACAAAAGTGGCTAATCTGTAGCAAAATACAGTTACAAAAGCATAAAATAATATTTGCATTTGAATTAAGAGATTGTTAATAAATTCTTTACCAGTTCTGATATCTGTTAAGTTAAAACTATTTGTTTGATTGAAACAGAACACAATGAAATTAAGCACAAAGAAATAATAAATATCAGCTTCTTCATGAAAGGTAAGTTGTGAATAACTACACTTCATCCATAGAATTTATTATTCTGTGCTATTTGCTATTCTGTGCTATTGTATCTAAGCTATTTATTAAGATAAACTATTAATTAAATTTTTCTTCAATGCTAACAGAATGGAAAAAGTTAAGTGTGCAATGAATATTAAAAACAAATATTTTCATTATTTGCAAGGTTTCACTATTTCCCCCCTTTTCTATTTATTCCTATCTTAATAAATAATAAAGTAATAAGGCATTTAATTTATTCTAAAATCAAATGTGCATAATGTGCCTTCCCTTTTGGATGTTGTTGGAAAGACATTTTACCTCACTTTTGAATCATATTTATGAACAAGAAAGATCAGAAGGAATATTTAACACTTTTTTTAGTACTTTCAGATGTGTTAAGAGATGCTGTTCATAATTTAATATTATTTAAATAATTTTCTTATACACAAATTGTTTATAATGATGATGATGATGATAATTAGTATGTTAATTGTTTTTATTTTTTACTGTTACATTATTGGTTGTTATTGCCTTTCATACAGTACTCAATATACACAGCATAACTTACCTGGGTTGAGAGGATTGGGGTTCTGAGGAAAATATGAAAACAGTTGAATGATGCTTCATGTTCTATTATGGAGGGTATTCTGGGAGAGAAATGTGAAAAGAAAAACCGAAGTCCAATTAACTTCTGGTTAGTAAGTAAATAAGTAAATCAGAATCCATAAAATTAGATTACAAATTAAATCATGTTCTTTACCATCATGGGCCCCAGCCCCAGAGCTTTTTGTCACTGCTTGTTCATTGCAAGCGTTATAATGTCCTTGGTGCATAAATAACTATGTATAATCTGCATCATGAACTACATTATGAACTACATTGTGAATTATTGAACTTACTTTTCTATTAAAATCCACTTTCCAGATAGTAGTTTTTCATTTCTTTATTTCTGGTTCTGTTTTATTAGGTGATGTTTTAATGAACTCACCTCACAACTTATCTAAACAACTGTGTTATGGGTTTTAGTTACAATGTTTATTTTTACTAATATTTAAGATCACTAATATTTACCTCTTTAAATTGCTGCTCAGCCTCTGCCCAACTTCTTATGTTGTATTTACCTAGTGATATCAAGAGGTCATTATTTGAAATTAATTGTATCTTTTTCCTTTCTTTCACTACAACAACACAGTGGGCAGCTGAAACATTACAATTTAGCAATGTAAATATATTGCCTATATTTTATGTAACACATGTTTAGATTAAGAGGAGAGGATACCATGAAATGTGTCAAACGCCTGATTTGTTTTTTAGAGGGAGTAAATAAATAGTTCAAATCTTGCTCTTTTCAAATATATCAACATGAATGCTATTGATCTCATTAATTCTTCTTAAAATGTTCTAATGTGCATGAGGCATGCTCCCTTTTTTTACAATGCATACAAATATGTGCAGTGTATTGGCTACTTTTTCGAAATTTTGAACGCATATTGGGTTGTTAATGAGTTAATGAAACAAGGTCTTGATAATATGTTGATAGCAATAGTCTTTTCCACTTAAGAAGATGATCCAGAATTTGGAGCAGGAATATTCTAGTAGAGCAGTGGAAAAACAGACTTGTTTTAAATGGAGTTTCATGAAAATTAACTTATATTGTAATTAATGAACATTAACTTCCTCAGAAACTATAATTCACAATTTATTTAAATTTACAGGATACATTCTTTATAGTATTGGCAATAAATTTACATTTTTATGTAAACATTCTTTAATAATAAAAAATATATAAAGATAATGATTTTTCAAAAATGCTGAAAAAATTAGGTCAAAAGTTATAATTGAAAAATATTAATAAATATTTTTTAATCAATTCTAAAAAATGTCAAAATAATAACAAAGACTGTACTTTTAGGTGTGGGAAGTATCAAAATTTTGTAGAAAATATACATTAGTAGCAAATTTAACATGGGCACAAGTACACATGGTACCCTCTCCCCTTAACAAGTTCTACTTACCAGTGACTACATGTTTGCGGGACACCAGTGTACCTCCACATTGGAAATTCAATGTTACACTGCTACTTACTGTATCATTATTTCTAAATATAGCTGTCTGCCAAGGCCATTGACCTTTCTCGGCTTCAAATCCAAATACAACCAGTGCATTTGGCAGCGAAGCCGTTCCACAGTTAGTGGGATCCACTTCAATGTCAGAATATAAATAATGAAATTACAAATTTGATACACAAAAAATACAGAAAAATTATGATCAGGGCTCGGATGCTGATGCCATGTCATTTTTTAATTGGTGCATACTAGACACAGCTGACTTGTAAATGAATGATTATCAAGACTTTGATAGAGATCCATAGTGAATTTTTTGACATTTTTCGATTTTTAGCTCATTTTCTGGACCTTTATGTCATTTTTATGCATTTTCCCCTTTTTGTTAGTGAATGTGCATGAATTTACAATGACATACTAGAAAAATATTTTATTGTCTCATCAGATCATGATAAAATTCGCTCCTGCAGTAAACTCTGTATTTCTAACTCTTAAAATTAAACGGATCTTTAGTAACTTCCTCAACCTTTCAAAACCGACGGTTGGAGGATTGGAGCTAAGGATTACATTTCTTCCTAAAATAAAGACTTTATATAAAACATAATTTTATATCAATTTTATTTATAAATGTAAAATTAATTACAAAAATAAACATATTCTTAACATTTCAAAGTATTTTGAAAAAAATTAGGTCATTTCCCCTTATTTTTGTCATTTTATAGGTCATTTTCCTCTTATTTTAAGATTTTTCGAGAATTTCATTTTATCAGTTATTTTCAAAGAATTTTTAGGTCATCAGAATCCAATCCCTAATTATGAGCAATTACGTATCATATTGCATTTATCATGATCAGTTAAATATACTTACATAATTGTTCATCACCTTCACCTTGTGCAGGTGGAGGGGAAGGTCGAGATGGTGGTTGAGGTCTTCGAGTAGTCACAGGATCAAGCCATGGCTCTGGTTCAATTGGTTCTGGATCTATAATTAAATAATATGAAGCACTTTCTGGCATGACTGGTATTGAATGCGACATTAGTGGATGCTCTTAAATGAAAGAAATAGAACGAGTTGTTGCTCATGTTAGGAAAGGGAAATCAAAGTCAAAGTAGAAACTCAACAAATTTTTATGTTTCAATAATAACAACAATAATAATAAAAATAAATGCCCATGTAACAGTAATTAGAAAGTTTTAGAACATAAAATCTTTAATTCAGTCTTAATTTCAACAACAGTTACATCTGAAATTAACTTATAACTTGACTTCAACCCGTTTATACACTTTGGAAGTAGACTCTCGGAAATAAAAGAAAACATTTTATGGCTTTACAATGTCGAGGAACAATATTTACAGAATTTTAAATTCCTATTTCATCATTAGGGCCTGCAATGTCTATGCATCTCATAAAAACCTAAAAATGCTAGTTCGGAGTAATTAAAACCACAGAGAATATTCTCGATTAATTTTTTGAGCAGAGTTTCTGATTGAAGCTGTTTATTAAATAATAATACCCTGGCTGACATGTGCATCAAAAGAGGAAGAGTCAGCCTGTAATTTAGCATCAAAGCAGGCACCAGTCACAAGTGATGGAACAAAAATATAATTTTCTGTGTGTGAAAAGAACATGAGCAGAGAAAGTCATTGTGGTTTTGCACTTACTCTTACTTTGTGTTTTATTTCCTGTATTCCTTTTAATTTTTTCCATGTTTTTAATAGAACAGTTTGAAGTAAAATAAGTTAATTGAAAACATTATTTCTTCATCAAATTATACTGTCTATTTTCAGCAGTTTGTTTTTCCCTTTTAAGAGACTATTTTAGGTATCTAAAATAGGTTTTAGACTTTTCCATTTGCACCTTTCACACTTAAACATGCATTACATTTAATTTATAAACAGAAATGCAGTAAAGTTTGATGAATATGAAGTTTTAAGAGACAGGAAAATATTTTAGGAAGTCCTAGGATTGGGGTTCCCAAATTGTGCTCGGGTCTTCACTGAGCCTTTCAGACAAACTTGCTTCATCTACTGAAGAAAACCTGACTAATAAAATATTTTTGGTTATTCATAAATTGAACCATTATACATCCACATTAAATGCTTGGACTCAATCTTGAACACATTTTTAGTGTCTTAGAAATATGTAATATTTTCATTGCAGATGTAAGTTATTAAGAGATTCTCAGTCTGAAATGGAGCATCACCAATGAAATGGGATACTGAATTCCCTGAGCCAAATCTGTTCAAAAAAGACTGGAGACAAAGAGTTTGGGAACCCCTTTATTAAGATATTTATTTACATATTTACAAATAAATAAGTTATGAGGTAGTCTGAGAACGTATTAATATAGTACACATTTTGAATAGATTAAAATAATAATAGGAAGTACTTAACTTATAGATTTTTTCTTGTTATAAGAAAATTTAAATATAGAATTCAATATGAAAATAACACAAAACAAAGACAAGAACAGACTTTTGCATCAACCATGCATTCAAGAGATTAATAATATTTTCCAGCAATAAATTATTCACTCTAATAAACATTAGTAGAAGAGTGTAGAAGAAACATTGACAGTAATAATTGATATAGTATATTATGTACTGTTTGTTTGTGTGTGCACAGCACAACAATATCATTTTGATTGCAAAGTGTTCTGTTGTTGCAAGAATAAAATCTCCTGCTGCAATGTGAGTCGCCGCTGCTCCAGGTCCAGGAGATTGCGAAGTGCCATGTTGATGTGGGAGGAGATGTGATATTCCTCCCACAGCACCTCCGCCAGCTTCGTATCCCTCATTAATCCTGGTTCGTCTGAAGAGAGAGCAGACAACAGAGTGTCTGCTTTGTAGCCAGGAATGCAGAGAGGAAATTTCACAGGGAGGATCAATGATTTTTGTGAGATTTATGGCAATATTTGAGATGCAGTTTGAAATAAAAATAATTGTTTTGTGATCATATGTGAAATATTTTCCTAAAGATTAAAAGTGAGAGAATGAAATAATTTTTAGATTTTATAAGTTTCTAACCCAACATTTGCCTGAACATATGATAGAAATGTTTTTTGAAATACCAAAAAGTTTTCAGAGAAATGATAATAGGAATAAAATAAAATAGTAATGGGAAAAACAATAGTTTTATTTTCAAATTTGTTAAGTCTTATCTTTCAGTGAAAAAATTGAGTGGATAAGACTTGTTTTGGTATATAAATATTATTTGGCAAATGTTGAGCAGGTAACCAATTTCCTCAGTAGTTTACTTATCCAATGCTAATCAGAATGAACTTTACCTAATCCTATTGTAAATTAATTCAAGTAAAACATTAATAAGCCAACCAATCTCATAATTTTTGTTTTGAAATAGCTGTGCACACCCTAGAAATTATGAAGGTTTGACTGAGGTGTAATGTGATAGGAAAAACGATCATAAAGCTACTCAACAAGGATTTTGGAATATAGGGGAATTAAGTAATTTGTTCCTTCTTTCATGTATCCCAGGAAATTAAATAGTTTAACATAAAGACACTCATGATATAACTCTTCTACAATTAATTTTATATTCTTTCAGCAATGGGAATTTTATGATAGTGAGTAAAGCACTTGAAGAGTTAGTTAGTCATTGTACCTTGTATAGTAAACAAATCTGTTGTCCCATATATAATCTGTTGTCCCATGTCCCTCACTGCTAGTTTCAACATGTTTTGTAAAGTGTTAGCACAGGGAATTTCAAATGTTCATTCCACAATGTTCAGCTATCAGCATTATGATTCATTTACAATCAGTATTATCTTGATCAAAATTTCTTGAATCAATATTAAGTCAGACATTGTCTCAAAGATATATCATTATTGGGCAAAGAGCCATTTCTTGACTACAGTATAATAGAACTAAGGTTACAATTGGCATTTGTAACACATTGTGCCTTTTAAATGGAAGCAACCAATCAGAAGAATTAAGTACTATTGGAGTCTCATGATTTATTGTTGTTGACTGACATTCGTTTTCAAGGAATTTTTAATCATGTTCTAATTTCACCTGAGTAATAGTCAAGAGAAAGCCCTTTTTTCAAACTATTTTTCATTACATATCACAAGATACAAGAAGAAACAGAAATTATAATCATTTTGATATTGATTGTTGAGGATAAGGATTACATGCATTTGGTAGATTGTCGAGTTCTCTAGGAGACAAATATTTTTCCAAGCCTTGTTTACACATTTTGTTTCCCCCCAATTAAAATTTGAAATGTAGCAGCTATGTAAGGTTTGCTATCGTACACATTCATATTTGTTTGAAATTACATTTTAAAATAATGAAAAAGAAAGTTTGCAAATATTTAATTGAAGGATTTTGTTATTTCTATTGTTAAATTACGAGTTTTTTGAGAAGAGAATAAGTACTAGATTTTTTTTCAAAATTATAATGAAAGCCTAGATTTCAGACTACTTAAGGATTTTTTTGTGTTTCTACTTTACTTTGTAATGAGTTAACTAGATTCCAATTTATAGATTCCAGTACAAATTTTCATTCTATTAATTATTGTCTTTAGTATTTGGAAAAATCTTTCTATATTGAAAATTAACAACAGCTCCAGATTAAATAATTCAATGAAACTTTGAAAAGACTAATGCATTCCAAAATTTGATTAATTTATTTTACAATATCTGAAATGGTTTTGAAATATCAATTTTCAGTTAATTCTCTATTACTTTGTGTTTTTCAAGTATGAAAATAACTGTATTTATTAAAAAGAAAAATCAACACTTAATAGATTAATCATTACTTCTTGATTAAAACCAAATAAGAGCGTTTTGCAGTCTCCAAAAAGAAACAAGGTGGAGAAATCACTCTCTATAAATGGTACTTATTTTTGTACTTAAATTTTGTGAATATATCTTCCTCCCCAAAATAGACGTAGTTTCGCTTGTAAGAAATGGGAAAGAAGTGGAGAACAGAAGAGGAAGGAGGAAAGTAGAAGAGAAGGGAAAAGAGAGTAACAGAGATACGAATAAAGAACAGAGCGAGAGGGAGAGATCGAAGGAGAGCGGAATGCGTTTTCTAGCCTCCACCACCTTCGTCGTGCGGACGCGCGCGCGCCCCGCGGGGCAAAAGCGCAACTCACCAGGGGGCGGCAGCATGGGCGGCGGGCGCGTCGTCGGTCGCGCGGCGGGGTGTGGCGTGGGGCGGGGCTGCGGGGGCCGCGGAGGAGGAGGGGGCTGGGGCTGTGGGTCGAAGGGTTCGGGCTCGAACAGCCCCCCTTGCAACCCCCCTCCGCCTCCGATTGGGCCCCCGCCAACGAATATTCCGCCGCCCCCGCCCCCGCTTCCGCCCATCACGGCGCCGAAGTCTTGGCCCCTCACTTGCGGTGCGTCGTTGACGCCCGTGTTGAGAAACGACTGCAGCGTGATGGTGGAGCGAGTGTTGAACGGCGTGGCTGAAAAGGAGAGCGGAAGCGTTGCGTGCGACATCTTATTGATTTCACTAAGTACTCTCAATAAACCACGTGGCTTTCATACAAACAAGCTTCATGGAATTAGATTTACAATGTATGAAATAGAACATTTACATTACTTGATGCAATTAAAGCAAATTAATTTATCATAATTGTGAATCCTTTTCATTCTTTCTAAAATGAAAAAAATATTTTTTGTTACTAGGGAACGGATTTTCATGTGAATACATATTTTATAGAAACGAGACACCTGCATTCAATAATATTTATTTAGATTACAGTTCAGATGAGAGTTTACAAAACATTCTGAATGAATAACAACTATTTTAATTTTATTTTTTTACGTATTTTTAGTATAATTACTTATTTTTTGACCATCTGAGAACCTCTGTCACTAAAGACGCGTAGCCCCAGTCCGAAGGAATACACGTTATTGATTGCTTGCGACATTTCGAGACAAAAGAAAAAAAACTTAACGAAGGATTACTCCAGATTTATATACGATGAATGTCCAAAAAAGGCCAAGACACGATCGCGAAAAATAGTAACAAATAAAAAAAAGGTTAAGTAAGTTTTAAACCTAGCGGGCTTTTAAGTTTTTGAATTATATAATGATTAAAATTCTGCTTTCCAGATGTGATGGTAAAACTCCACCTTAGTGCACAATATTTTTGTCGCCCTTTATTACATATGAAGAGAAAATTTAATTAAAAAGTTTTGAGCTTTTTTTGAAAATATTTTTTTTTAGAAATTGCATAAAAGGTTCCCCCAGGTAAGATGGTAAAACCCCTTTACCTAAATGACAAATGAGTAATTACACTAAAGCTGTAACATAAATATCTAATCTTCAGCAAACATCTCTATCTTTAATTTTTTAATTTTAACATTTTGCAATTTTCAAACAAATGCAAAGGTAGCGAAAATGAGATTAGCACCATACGTTTTACCATTATTTGATACATACGGGGAAAAATTTTAAAGAAAAAAATCAGATCTTCAATATGGAAGTTGTAGTCAAAATCTTGAATATTGTAGTTGTAGCTAGACCCCCAAAATTGCCCTTTTGCAATTTTCTAAAAATCAGGGATATCAACGAATATGAAACCTGCACCATTCTCCTAAGCGTTCTTTACGCTACACGAGGACAAAGTTTAATAAACGAAATCTGCAAAACAGTTCAGCCCTAGCGATGTTTACAGACAGACTGACAGGCATTTTGTCGACAATCGACTTTTCAATATCAAGGACCCACAAAACATGAATTCTGAAGTCAGGTGTTGGAGGGAAGTAATTTACTTTGTATAGATTAAGGATTTATCCACTTTTTCGTATCCAGGTCCAGACAGTAAGTTTTTCGTCAAAAATTCGCTGTTTTCCACCGCATAATTACATCATTTTCTCTTCTTACGAAGTAAATGCTTGAAAGTATCAAAGAAAGAAGTAGCAGCGGCGAGGGACTTACAACGGGTGCACGCGAGGTCTGAGAGATAGACGTGCTTGTGGGTGTCTGTGTCAAGTCTAATCCTCGTGCCAAAAGTGAAATTGAGATGGAAAAATCTGCTATATCATAAATGCGTGGTGAAGAGTGCCAATTCACAGAGGACGAACACGAATCGTCGTTGTTCATTGGATTCATTGGGTTCGCACAATAACCAATCAGACTTCTGACATTTCACACCACACACCCTGTTCTACATACCTTCAGATACACCAGCCGTAGTGTAATGTATTAAAATTCTTCTGGAAACAAGATGAGCTCAGTCCATAAGGCATGATAATCACTAGGGGCGGATTTTGATGACCTTAAAACATCGCCAAAAATGATCCATAAAATGCTCTTAGAATGTTTTTGAAAGGCTCTAAAATGCATATGTAGCAAGTACCGTTAAAATGATATTAACATCGATTAAATCAACGAAAAATGCTTTAAAAATGACTGAGAAAGGAAAAAATGACTTATTAGTCGAAATCGACAAAAAACGCAAAAAAATGCCGTATAAAAACAGGTCACTTGCTTTTGTCATAACATAAAATTAATGTATATACTAAAATACATTGTTCTGAAGTGAAAAGAAAAAAAAATTCATTATAATCGGACATTTAATAATCACAAATGAGTAGTTGTTTTTTTCAAATTTAAATTGTGGTCAGCAATTCAGAGTTTGATTGATTTTGCGGTTGACGGCTAATTACAATTTGCACGAAGGAAATTGGTCATTTAAATGTTCCGTGGGATTCGGATGCCTTCCCTGTTTTCTTCGACGGCTTGACAAGGGCGGCGGCGGACATTTTTACTTTGATGAAAGAGGCCAAGGCGGAAAAGAGTTCGCTCTGGGAAACATTTCCTCCTTTACACGGAAGGTTTTTCACAACTCTTTAATCGTTGGAAGAAGAGAGCAACAAAAGTATATTACTGTCAGGAAAGTGTGATGACGCAGAGGAATCTTCCTTCTACTGTTCAACATGAAAAAACTATTGGTGCTAAAACAAGACGTACTTTTTCATCCGTATTTCCACCCTAAAGTACGCGAAAAGTACTAAAATCTTCGAGAAATTGTTCAAGACCTTAGTTCAAAATCTATCTTTAAGAAACAGCTTTTATTAAAGGGAAACATCTCTTGTCATAATGGTAGGTATATGAAAATGTAGAGTTTTTTTTGAATTTTTGCAATTTTCGAAAAGTTAGGGAGACCTGCACCATTCTCTTAAACGTACTTCACACTATCCAACAACAAAAAATGTTGGACACATTATTTTAAAAGTGTAAAGTAATCCAAAAAATTAAAATATTGGTTTCAAATTCAAGGGGCGCGACATCAGACAAGATCGATTGTGAAATATCAATTTTGGAGACAATCGGAGATTTAGCGTTGTTCACAGACGGACGGACAGGCCGACGGACTGACTGACGGACATACCGACAACGGAGCGACGGACGAACGGACAGAGGAAAGGACAGACGGACGGACGGACGGATAGTTAGATGGATAGACAGACGGGCGGACGGACAGACATTTTACCGTCATTCGATTTTTCGGTATCAAGAACCCACAAAACATGGATTCTGGTTACTGCACGTGTCAGAGGATATTTTTCTAAACTTAGCAACTGGATTTATCCACTCTTTCTTTCCCCAAGCCCTATAATAAGTTTTTTCTACCAAAAATTTGCCGTTTGTTCGCGTAGCATCACGTAACTTTCTCTCTACTGTGTAAGAGATAGCAAGAAAGTAAAATTAGTAGAAATGAACAAATTGTCTTATATTTACATGAGATTCTTTCGTGAGAAACCATTTATCCTTTTTGACCAAAGGCTAATAATGGTTAATGATTTATTACTTGTATCACTTTAACAATGGTTAATGGTTAATTACTTGTAACACTTTTTAAAATAACCTATAGTTATATAACATACACATGATGGTATTCCTGAAGTATTGTGAGTAAATGCAGTTGTCTATAAAATAATTGAGTCCAAGAGGGCTGCAAGCGTACTATACCATATCTCTGTGAGCACGTACTCTAGATAAACAAATAAATAAAACTTCAATCTACATGCATACATTTAGATTTAGATCAGTCAAGAAAACAGTAAAAACAGTATGTGACGTAGGGGGGAAAAGATTGATGATACATAATAATGAATGACATTATTTAGGAAGTTACGACGTTATGGGGATGGAGATTATCCTGAGGCAATTTTGCTTGTGTTTACAGAGAGCATACAATTTTAGATTTAGGTTTAGATTGATTTTCGTCAAACGAGGAAAAACTGAATGTGACGTACGGTGGAGAAGTACAATTTGCGCATGCTTTCTCCAACTCAAGAATTCCTTCTCACTTTTATATTGTACAGAGTTGAATGATGAATAAAGGCCGCGTAAGCGTGCTTGGCAACATTTGAAAACTAGATCTTTGAGCTTACGAGCCCTATACAGTATTTGAATAACTGCGAGTGTGCGTGAGTGCATGTGTGCGGATCCGTCATTCACGGTTAGACCAGTTCCCGTTCACCAATCGAAACGTATGAGTCATTTGATGCGTCTTTGTCTACAGGAGGGGAACTGGTAAATTGTGTGTGGATCCGGCCATAAGATTTAAAGAATGTTCCAAAAACGTGTTTTGCGTGTTTTAGTGCTGCCATCTTAGTGAGTATGCCGGGGATTAAACCAAAGCCACCCAAATAGATCTACGTAGGTGGCGTTGAATGCGACAAGTGCGAACATACAAAACAGTCGCCTTTTAATGTTTACATAGATTCGCCTACAAAATGATACATAGAGAAGTAGAAGTGAACACAATTAGACTGACTTTGTGGAGATTTAATCTCTTCTCAAAAATTAGGAGACATAAAATTAAAGCGTTAAGAAAATCCGGGGCAAAACAAAATACAGTTGTAGAATATTTTGCGATAGAATTTGAAAATTATCTTACTACAGAATAACGCTAAAGAGCAGCTTACAGATTATTTTTTATGTGAATGTTTGTGTATATTTGGAAACAAACGTAAAAAAATGTTGCTGCACTAAATTCTAACTATTTAGCATCATTCATACCTGCAAGTATTTTTTATGGCGTTTATAATTTTGAAATTGCAATATTACCAGTTCATAAACCCTATGGAGGTATCACACAAGGCCATTAGGCGGTGGGAATTTTTGAACAAGAGTGAAACATTATTAGCTATTACAATGCATTGGTATGTCCCTTGCTAGAGACTGTAAGGATTTATTTGAACAAAGCTATGCATGACATACATTTTTAACACATGAAAATACTTTTAAAACAGTTTACTGCGTTGGCGGCCCTACATTTAACTAGTAAATTCTATTTACATTGGTAAACGAACTGCAGATTTGATCTTATAGGTTTGGTAACAAAATAGTAAACCACAGCGCGGCCCGGCCCGGTCCGGCCCTGCCCCTGCCACTTCTAAGCAAAGGGAAAGCTCAGCAGAATGTGCGCAAAACGAAGCTTCACTCTTTCGAGGAGGTCCATCAAGATTTCCCTATCATCTCTAACAACACGAAAGACGCGTACTCCATTAAATTCAGATGCTAATAGCAATAAGGATATAATGGAAAAACTAAATTGTATGAAATATATGTAAAAATCAAATAGTTGTAAGTCGTATGAAAAACTAATTTAATATTCTAACATTATACTTGAAGTTAATGGTGTCAATGATGTTTAGACTTTTTTGATGATGCTACTTCAGCAAATACAATAATATTGTTGAGTTTACGTTTTTATATTTACATTTTATTTTGATAAATGTGCTTATTTATTTATTAAGTAATAAATACAAATCAATTTTAACAATAAAATCATTTTATGAAGATGGTGCCTCATTCCTGTATTATTCCAGCTCGGCAAACACAACCAACTCCTGTTTTTGTTCTATGGACAACCTCTGCTTACGAAGTTTTCGCAAGGCGAGAAAATAAAAGAGAAATGTCGTTTGAAATGATGTGGTAAAAAACGGAAATCACAAAAAACTACTGATCAGAGCAGCCGACCGCCAGAATTCTTCTGCAGACGGCGACGGAATTCGACGAAGCTGACAAGCTAGCACCGAAAATCCTGCCAAGTATTACGTTCAAAAACGCACTTTAAAGAATTAAGCACTAAATCAAATAAAAGCAACATCCAGCAGGCAAACAGACCGGCTGCACAACAGCATGGTTCGAACCTAGGACCTCCCGGTCAGAGGCACTGCAGTGACACCGTGAGACTTAAAGCCCATTCACAATGCCAACCTAAACATAAGTATGGTATTAACATAGAAGTTAGGACTACGTCCATAAGCGGACTCATTCACAACGCTTTCGCATTGGCATAACACGTAAGACGTTAACTTGAAAGCTTGCAAGCTTCAAGATTCTGTGCTTATGCTTACGTAAGACATAAGAAATGAACCAATCACAGAATGGTATCTCAAAATCGAGATTCGAAAATGGAGCGAAGTCGATGGAAGAACTAACGCTGTGTGGGACATGGACACAGTCGATATCTTGAAATCGATTCTCACATCCAACCAGAAAGTCTCACAGCCAACAGAAGCTGCATTTTGCTTACGCTTGCTAGTGTTAACGTGCAGGCGCTCACCTCGCGCCTGGCAGACGTCCTCCTCGTTGACGGCGAGCGCCAGCAGCGTGGGCACGGGCTTGCCCGGCGGGAAGCGCAGCTGGTACTCGAGCACGTGGCGGCGGCTGGCCAGCACGCTGCGCGTGGCCTCCATGGCGGCGTCGCGGCCGCCCTTCACGAACAGCTCGCCCACCTCGTTGCGCTGCACGGCCACCGGCGAGCTCAGCCGCGCCACCAGCCGCACCTCCGCGTACCTGCGCAGCCAGCTCGCTCTCAGCCACCTCGCGCACTCCACGGGCTTACATTTGGGATTTGCGATTTAGGATTTAGGATTTAGGATTTAGGATTGAGGATTGAGGACGAAGATAGCAGGGCATTAGGCGGAAAACACCTACGATGGCTACTAGATTTTAGATTTAGATTTTTAGATTTAGTCAGTAAAAAAAACCAGTAAAAACTGTATATGAAAGAGGAGAAAAGATTATCAGCGCACGTTTTCTTGAGTTCCAGAATCCCTTCCCGTCATTTTAACCATATATAATTGAAAGATGAGGAAGAGTTTAACATAAATATATATAAATTTAAAAAAATCGCGAGATTAGCAATATTTCGAAAAAGTAGACATTTTCGTTTCTGAGTTATAGAAAACATATTTGCATCGGTACACGAATTGCAAGTATGATTTTTCTGCATTGCTAACAAAATAGCAACTCGCCCTTACCTCTACTCTTACCATTACAAGCAAAATGAGAGTTCCACAAAACGTGTGCATGGTGATTTACGTCCAGAAACAAAACAAGGGGTCGTCTTAGCATTTGCTTAATGGATCAGTGAAAGTACATTATTTGTTACAAACATATTAAGTCTTTAAAAAATATACAATACAAATGTAACCTCATTTATTATATATCACTGTTTTGTTAAAATACACATTAGTTTTCTTTTTGATAATCAGTATAGTCCCTAATTGTATAGAAACAGTTATGCAGGTTGACAAAACAACAATAGATTTTTTCAACATTAGACTGAAAATACCAACGATAGCTACTAAATCAGAGACTTCATTAAACCTCCATACAATTAAATTGCTTAGCTTGGAAGCTCAAATTGCTAAATTTGCATAGAATTTGACATTTGGCACTTTTATGAGAACCTATGTAATCTAGTGAGGATGTCTACTTACACTTCAAAAATTTAAGTAGCTGAAGCAAAGCAAATTAATAATTAATAAAAAACAGACGAATGAGGCGGAGTAAAGCAGCAAGAAGTGGATGTGATGTGTGCAGGAAAGGAAGTGGGAGAGAAGAGCACATGGGCTGTGGGGCGTGGGCGGGGCTCACTGGGCAGCGTAAGCAGGCGAATGACGATAACAGTCTGCCTGGAGGAACCAGCCTCGTTCGGACAGAAGGCCAGCTCAACGACGAAGGCAGGAAAAGGATTAGGAAAGCAAAGTTAATCAGTATTTACTAAATGAGGGTATCAATTAAAGAAGAACGAGAGCTCACCTGGGCGGGGTGAGCAGGCGGATGAGGCCGACAGTCTGCCCGGATGAGTCCAACTCATACAAGTAGATGGCCGGGCAGGGAGACGAGGGCAGGATAGGAATTGGGAAAGCCAATATATTAATAAATGA